CCTGGAGCTCACAGACCTGGCACTCACCATGCAGGTGGGTCCAAGGTGATGCAGATCTCACCGGACCTCCCCTCCCCAGGACTCATGAACCCAGCATTTCCCTGCATGTGGGCTCGAGGGAGGACTGGGCTAGACTACGTGGACCTCACTAACCTTCTGTCCCTGAGGCTCAAGGACCCAGCACCCACTGTGCATGCAGGCTTAAGGACCTCAACCAGGTTACTTGAACACCACTGGATCAGGCACCCACCACACAGGTGAGCCCAAGGACCCCGACCATGTAATGCTGGTCCTGCTGAAACCCCCGTCCCCTAGGGGCTCACAGACCCAGCATCCAACACACAGACTGGCCAAAGGACCCAGGCCAGTTGACCCAGGTCCTGTCAGACCACCGCTCCCAAGCCTCACAGTTACTGTCTTTCCACCCCTAGACTGACGTGGCTTGCCTCACCTTGGCATCAACCAGTGGGTGCTTCAGCATGGGTCAGTCCGGCCTACCCACAGTTGCAGCTCCTGTTGATTGGTGATACATTCCAGGTGGTTGTGGACAGCCCCAGCTCCTCCTGCAAGCTGGTTCTCAGATCTGCCAGTGGAGTTCTAATTGCCTGTTGCTGTAGCCTAGTGGCTAAACCCTTGTATATGCTTGAATCACATTTGGGTACCAATTAATGTCCCAGATGTTCTACTTCCCATGCAGCTCCCTGCTGGTGGGCTCGGAAAGGAGTAGAGAATAGCCCAAAGCCTTGGGAATGTGCACCTGCATTAGAGACCAGAAAGAAGCTTTTGGCCACTGGCTTCAGATCAGTTCAGCTCCAGCCATTGCAGTCACTTGGAGAGTGAATGAGCAGGGATGGAGACCTTTGTCTCTTCTCTGCAAATCCTTTTTCAATACTTTGGATTGTGTGAATACAATAAATTTATAATGCGGTTTTTCTTATTTAGTATGTTATCCATTACTGACAGGCAAAAGTGCTTCAGATTTTAGCATGAATCAGTTTTCGAATATTTAAATATTTAATTTTTTTGGAAAGCCAGATATAAAGAGGAGAGACACAGGGTGATCTTCCATCCATTCGTTCACTCCCCAAGTGGCCTCAACGGTAGGAGCTGTACCCATCCAAAGGCAGGATACAGGAGTTTCTTCTGATTCTCCCATGCAGGTACAGGGTCCTGAGGCTTTAGGCCATCCTCTACTGCTTTCTGAGGCCACAAGCAGGAACCTGGCTGGGACAGGAACTGGCTGGATGGTACACAAACCAGCTGCAGTATGGGATTCCAGCGCATGTAAGATGAGGACTTTAACCACTAGAATACCACAGCAGTCCGAGTTTCAAGTGTTTAAATATATATAAACCATTTTACTACTACTAATAAAATCCTTAGTATGAATAAATCAAACTAGAGTACCCAAATACCTGAAAAAACATTTATCCTTATAAGAGGATTCTGTGTTGAGAGTGTTGAATAGGCAGTAGACATAAACAAAGCAACTGGGTATCAGATGTGATCTATCCCAAGCAGCAGCAAAACCTGCTGTATCATGACATTCAATCCTCTAAGTCTGATGGTTTTCTCCAGCTGTTGCTATAATATAAGTATTTAATGAGGTAAAGTAAAAATACATTTCAAACTATGTTGCTGTCATATTTATAGATGTCCTATGGGCCAAAGCAAATGAAATGGCAAAGTCAAGTGTCATTGAAGGTTTAAGAGCTGGGAAGTGACATTGAAGTCTTAGGAAGTTTCAGTTGGAGCAGTTACTAGAAAGTTGTAGAGAGTAAATATGTATTATATCAATTTTTCCCGTATAAGTGCAGATACAATTACTCTAATTGAAAAAGTCTGCTTTCAACATTTTTAATATTAGCAATAAATGTTCTAATGAAAGTCCTTATATGGAGTCCTATGCAGCTCATCTACAAAAACAAATACTTAATACCCCTAATTATTTTTGAGTAGCATAAATTTCAGTGACAATATTTTTTTATGGTATGTTGTAATTTGAACAGTGGTTGAGAAAAATAACTAAGTGCTTGGCAGTAATATTTTTAATTTTAAGTAAGTATAAAACGTTTGCTTTAGACAGTAGAAAGTTTTCACTTTCAACAGAATCAAGGTGGTGGAATAGGGTAAGAACATGTTTAAATGGACAGGAAAACATTTAATCAGGATGAAGCAGAGAGGACATATTTCAGGAAATAGGAAAGGACAGAACAACAATAGCAAGAGCAGAGGAGTATCTGGAGACTGACAGACACAGGAAAGCAGTGGGAACAAAGGTGTAGTGTTGCAGTGAATGATACTCGAGCGGCATTCAGCTAATGGCAATCTGAACTCTGCCAGCAGCTGGAACTCCACCAGCAACCAGGTAGGAAGGGACTTTCACTGGGAAATTGGGAGGTGAACCCAGACAAAGAACTGTCCATCCTGCTGGTCCATTTGATTTGACCAGGAGCAGAGACTGAGGAGCAGATCTCAGATGGGCAGTGTGAGAACAGGGTGGATTTCAGGGCCCAATAAGCCCCCTAGAGCTGAATTGGGCCCCATTTTGCATAAGAGGGCAAAAACAAGGGAAAGGACTAAGCATTTGCTGAGCTGGGAGTGAGCTCATTTCTGACTCAGTGAACTGCATCCGCGTGGCATTCTACAGGTTCCCCCCGGGGCAGGTCTGGGTAGCCCTCGGATCAGATGGCCAGCAGATCAAGAACTGTAATGCTGGTACATCAGGCACCATTTTGTACACTGTGGCAATAGCTTTAAAACATCAGGGGACAACAGTGAACCGTGCATGTGCTGAGTTCGTGAGAACTCACTGAGGTGAGTGGATTGAACTGGCCCCGCAGGAAAATAGTACTGACTATGGCATCGTATGGGTCTAAATAGGTCTGTGGGGTACCCAGACCTAATGTCCAAGAGGTTTTGATAAGATCAGCGCCACCAACAACCTAATTATATAGGACAACTGGTGTCTCTCATCCTGGAACCTACTCCAACTATAAGTGGGAGAAAGCTTGCAGAGACAATGGTGCAGCCTCAGCATGGTATCACAGGAGGTAGAGAGTGGTGAGCCAGGAGCTGGGGCTGTGGAGACCATGGTGGAAATCTGACATAAGAACCCAGACCTGGAACTTGCTGGAGGTTGTGGCACAAGTGGCTGCAAGCAAAAGTTGTATACCAACTGCAATAAGTAGAGTTAAACTGTATACCTGAGTGTGAAGCAGCTTAGAAACCTGCCCCAAGGAGAAGAAGACTCTGCTAACCAGAAGTACAATGACCAAGAGCAAAAGAAGAGACAAAGGCACAATGAATATTACTGAAAACTCCCCTGCAAAGGAGCAAAGCCCTGTGCCAACCTCAGAGTTCATGAAGAAGACATCTAAAAAAATGGGGGACACAGAATCCATAAGACTCATTTTAAAGATTCTGATCAAAAATGAGAAGCTCAAGCAAGAGTTCAAAGAATTTAAGGAAGCAGTAAAGCAAATCAAGGCTGGAATATCAGAAATTAAGAACACAGTAGAGCAAATTAAAAATACAATGGAGAGTCTCCAAAATAGAATGAAGCAAGCAGAAGAAAAAATCTCAGAATTGGAAGATATTTCCTGTCTCGAGGGGGAAGCAAACAAAAAGCTGGAAGCAGAGCTGGATCAGGCCAAAAAAGTATTAAAGAACTGAAAGACACTATTAAGAGGCCAAATATATGAGTTATGGGAGTCCCAGAAGGTGCAGAAAGAGAAGCTGAGTTTGCAAATGTATTTAATGAAATAATCAAGGAAAGTTTCCCTAATCTGGAGAAAGAATTGGGAAACAAGATCCAGGAGGGGCACAGAACTCCCAGTAGGCTTGATCAAAAGTGATTTTCCCCAAGACACATGATCATCAAGCTCTTTTTAATTGAACAGAAGGAAAAGATCCCTTAAATATGCACATGAAAAAAAATCAACTGACATATAAAGGAATGCCAATTAAACTCACAGGAGATCTCTCACAGGAAACTCTACAGGCAAGAAGAGAATGGAGTCACAATATTCCAGACTCTGAAAGAAAAAAATTGTCAGGCTAGGATAACATATCCAGCAAAGCTTTCTTTTGTCTTTGAAAAGGAAATCAAATTGTTCCACAGAAAAGAAATGTTAAAAGAATTTGCCTCTTTCAAACCTGCCCAACCCAAAGGCAAATGGGAAGAACATCCACCAAAACCAAAGGCAAATGGGAAGAACATCCCAATAAAATGACAACAGAAGATTAAACCAATGAACAACCCATTTCTAAAATGAGAGGACCAAAGTATCATCCGTGCATATTAAACTCTGAATGTGAATGGCTTAAACTCAATTAAATGTCATAGCTTAGTAGACTGGATTGAAAAACAAAACCCATCTGTTTATAGTCTGGAGGAGACACGCTTAACAAAGATCACCAGAAAATATATTGCATGTGTTTTGTTGTTTTCTATTGGTTTCATCTCTTCAAAATACTTTCTTCTGATTAAATCATGTAATGGCTCATAGATCATGCAGTGATATCATTTTCTTCAAGAAGGTTCTTGATTTTCACTTCTTCAGCTACACGTTAGCCTTTCTATTGTTGATTTTGTATCATAACTTTTCATTTAAGGGGATGTACAGTAGTTGTGTAATGGAGACTGTCATATATAGTAACGTGTGATTGAACTTCATGGCATTGTACATTCCTATTTTTCTTTCTATTGTTGATTTTGTATCATGACTATTTAAGGGGATGTACAATAGCCTTGCAATGGAGACTCACATCCAGATGTGAGGATGCAGTGTGGTATGCATTTCTTCTTCCAGACAAAGATGGACTTACAATGAAACTGTTTACTATATTTTGACAATAAGATGCTGGACTCTCTGCCATTTTCCATGCCAGCAATGATGGACATATGAATGTGTATGAAGAACTATATGTTAATAATGATATAGAGGTATTAGGTGGGGGGAGGGAATTTTGGAGGTGATGAGCAAATTTGGAACTGTATCATAAAAGATAATAATAATAGAGTGCAAAAAAATGTTTGCTTTAAGCTAATAACAACTTGAATTTAATCACTGTCAATTATTGAATTTGTTTATGCTGTTTCTAGGATGGCTTCGTGGCACTTGTCATCTGTAATGCACTATTCTTGCCCAGGAAATTGGATAGCCTTTATTTCTCTGGCCGTTGTGTCTGGTTCCTGCCTTGACATTACTTACACAATAGGAAATAATAAGGAAACTTGAGAAAGCAAAACCAATTTGTAACTTCCTCTGTGCACCTTTTCTTCCAGGTGTTTCACTGAAACACACTACATGCTTCCAAGTCTAGAGAACACAAACACACTTTCAGTAAGTTGTATGTTTATGTCTCAGCTTGTTTTACATTGTGCTGTAGAAGCTTTATGATGGTTTTCTTAATCTGATACAAAGAAATAAGTATGAGAGGAAGAAGGTAAGATTGTCATAACTAGACATTGGAGCAGTTAAATCTGATTCAAATTTTCCCTCCAAGTTTTCTGATGATATAACTAAGATATTTATTACATGATTCAAATTAAAAGTAAGAATTTATTAATTATTGAGGGATATCAAGTTTAAAATGGTGTTTATTGATGTTACAGATGATATAAAGAACATCATTCAGTTCCAACCTGAAAATAGCCACTCAGCATTTGGGAGTAGTAAGAGTTTCCAAATATAAAAATAGTTTTCAAGTTTTCAATTTTGCTTTTTGAAATTGCTGAAATGGTATGGTGCCTAGCAGCATTTGGAGGTTTTTATTTATTTTAAAAACTGAGTTAGCTACTTGTTACAAAAAGCTAGTTCTGAATGAGGCTGAAGTTCACTGTAATTAAAATATTAGCTTAATTTAATTGTGTTTTCATAAAAAGAAAAAAATAGAAAAAAGAAAGGATTTTAATATATACATTCTCCAAAGTAAAAAACAAAAAATCACATATGTATTTAAATCCAGAGTAAGCTGTATTAACTCTTCACTCATTTGTGTAAGTTTAATTTAAAAATTTTTTCCAATATTTCATTTTTTAAGTTGAAATAGGAAAATTGAATTTTATTAATGTCACTTTATACATTTTTAAAATATCAGCTTGTTTGAGAAAAATATCATGAATCATTTTCTCACTATTCTATCCATTATTAATCATGTGTCTTTCTTATCTAATCTTGCATGTAATTTAGCTCAATGTTCATATTTATATGTACAGATTACACAGTGAGCTCATAATTATTTGATAAAATGATCTTACAGAGTGATAAAGGAATTGCATTGTAACTTCAGAATTTCAAATACAATGTAGGACAAGATGTTTTTAATTTTGTTTTTACCTTATGTTGCCATACAGATTGTAAAGTAATCTGTGTCTTTAGAAGATGCAAAATAAACATGCGAAGAATAGTTCTCCTGAGCTGAAGCTTTAGTCATATCCTTCACAAGACTGAACATGAGACATTCATGGATACAAATTCTGTTGTTAATGTATGGTTTTTAACACAGAACAGACTCACTTCCTAATCCTATGCCTTAAGTGAGTGATCCAGAAAACTTTACCCCACTTTGTAGCTGAGAAATCAGTAGAGAAGACACCAATATATCTTTCTTATAAGAAGAAATTCTACAGAAAGTGAATATGGGGGAACATGGCAGTTGGAAATCACTCAGCTTACTATTACAGGCACTGAATTTATATTTTTGCTCAGTGTTAAAATGCTTATATATTTTAATTTAATTGAAAAGCAGAGTGGCAATAACAGGGACAAACAGAGTGATATCTTCTACTTGCAGATTTATTCTAATGATACCTTCTATATTTAATGAAAATCAGAGTCATTAGAGGAAAGAATCTGCAACAAAATAATAAGGGATAGTCTATTGTAGTTTTGGAATTGCAAAAGTAATGCAGAATGAGTATTTTCATTTTGCTTTTAATCTATAATGCCATATAGATTATAAATTAAGCTGCATTCATATAAGCTGCAAATCAAACATACGTGGAAGAATGTACTGCCAGTGATCCAGAACTGAGGAGACATGTGTTGTTGCAGGTGTTGGTGTCATTTGAAGATGTGGCTGTGGACATTACCCAGGAGGAGTGGCAGATCATGGACAATACTCAGAGGACCCTGTACAGGGATGTGATGCTTGAGACCTATAGCAATCTGCTGTTCGTGGGTGAGTGATAATCTGTCATGCCCAAGCAGAATACTTTCTTTATATTTGACAAATTAAAGAAGAACTTATAAAGTTTAGTATCTAGTAGGACTAGTATTTGAGGCTTTAAAGAATCTTAATATCTATTCTTCAGATAATGATTCATATTAGCCATTTTGTGACTCAGATTCTAGATCCAATCTTTTCTTCTTTAAGCTCCAAGATAGTGATTTCACAAAATCGCTATTATTTTCAATTAACAGGGTATCACATAACAAAACCTGATGTGATCTTCAAGTTGGAACAAGAATCAGTACCATGGACTGCGGAAAAATCTGTACCCCAGCAACTTTCAGGTAGGGCAGTACATACTGGGAAGCGAAATTGATATGTATCTCAGTAAATATTCATTGAAATTCATGTTGATTTTTTTTTATGTTTCTTCCAAAATCAGGTTATGTCATGCATGAGACAAAGGCACTCTACAGTCTCCATATACAGTTTTATTCTAACAATGCTTTCAAATGTTAAAATTGATCAACCTGAAACCAAAAATGTAGAGCTAAATATTGACCTTTTACATGATCCCTGCAAGATAAGACAAACTGGAACTGTTATGCGATGTAATGCATTACAAGCATTAGTTTGAATTGCTGTACCATATTTTCTGTCCTACTCCACATCAACTTAAAATATAAAATCCCAAGTAATTGAAAATTGAAAAAGAAACCCTATTTATTGTATTAATGTATTAACTTAAAAAGTGTAATGATCATAAATGTGTGCATTTTTTGAATATTAAAATCTGTTATATCTAGATTGGCAAGAAACATCATTGTCTTACTTGAGCATTTGAAAAGAGATACTTAGATGTGATTCACAGATATGGTTACTCTTTTTCCTCTTTTCAGATCCTTACACAAAGAATGAGCTGCTTGGAACTAATCCAGAAAATCAAGAAACCACTTTCAGGCAAGTTGTAATAACAAAAATTGTATAACTTCAAAAAGAGTTGCATTGGCAAAGATGATTAATTTAAGCTCTGGCCATAATTGACGTGTGCTATGAAAAGCTATGGAGAGGAAATTGTATAAAAAAGAAAGTAGAAATATGTCTCTTTTTTTTGTTTATTTGAGAGAAGTTTTATTTGCAGAGTTACCAGGTGAATGTAGAAAGCAGAGGGAATGGAAAAGGACCACCTCAGAGAGGAAGAGATAGATGGGATACCTGTTGAGTGGAGAGAGGGAGATGCACCATTTTTCAGAAGGGTCTTGGATTTTTAAGTGTTGTATGACTCCTCCTTGTCTGAGGAGGAACCTGTGGGAAGACATTTCCCATTTGTTGTCTCTCAATCAATAGCTCCTATTGTGTAGTTTCAAATGTACTCCTCCTGTTCTATTGCTGTTCAGGTCTCAGATTTTGGAAGACACATGGGTGATAGAATTGAGACAGGAGTCAAAATAAAGAAACTGGTCTTAGTTCATCTCAGGGGTGTAGGGAGAGTCATCAGAGGTGCATATGAGTCAGTTCAAATAATCAAAACCAAGCATAATACTTGTCGGGGTGCCATGAGTCAGTCCTCCTTCACTAAGGATAAACCAACATGAAACATGAGAAAGAAGCTTGGCACTTGGGTACCATGCCAGGTCGTCAGCATTCAGAATCCACCCAGGGAGTTTCCCATCATGCAAAAAAGTAGCCTCTGAGAGGGACTGTCAGTCCTCCACCAGGTTTCTTCGAAACACACACCCAGAGCCATACTCCCAAAGGAGAAATTGAGATGATAGGAAACAGCAATTCATCCCCCTTAAAAAAAGAACCTATTTGGAGTTTCAACCAGAGCTAGGTGGTGGACAGTGGATGGGGTGGAGGGATCCATCTTTATGCAGAACCATGGGGTATCAAGAGTCATTTTCAAGGTTCAGTCCCACTTGAGGGAAAGCACACCAACACGGTAAATTCTTTCTGTTGAGTCAAGCAACATGACTGGTATAAGAAGCCATTTCATGCCCTGTATTGGACACCAGAGAAAATGTTACCAGGAATCTCAGTGGCTGTTTCCTCAGCTTAGTATGGGAACAGAAACTGGGACTCAGTTGCTTACAGAAGGTTTGCTTCTGAAGTGACCAGGTGAACTTGGAAGAAGAGGGGAGGTGGGAAGTGTGTCCCAGGAAAGACTCAGAGATGGGGTACCTTTTGAAGAGAGGAAAGGACACCATAGTTTATTTCAAAATGTGTTTTTTTCCTAGGAAGCCTGATGAAATGTCACTTGAGAAAAAGCATGCCTCTAATGTTCCTGAGAACAAACTCCAATTTGCAGAAAAGCTCAGTCAGCATGACAAGATGTACACTTGTAAGCAATCTTTTGAACACAATGGAAAAGAAAAAACTTTCAGCACGAAGATGTTCCTTAAGTGTAAGAAAATTTGTATCAAAGACCCATTTAATGACCCTATCATTGTAGGAGAAACAATTCAGGTTGACAAGAAAATGTTCCATAGCAATCCTTATTTTGTCAAGCATCAACAAACACACTCAGGAAAGAAACTCCATGAACCTTTCAAGAGTGAGAAATGTCCTATTTATAAAAGAGATCTCAAAATAAATCAGATAATCCAAATAGCGAAAAGTCACTATATATGTGGCTACTGCAAACAGTCTTTTAGCTGTAACTCTAGCTTAACCACCAAGAAGGGCAGTGAAATTGGAGAAAATTTCTCTGTGTGCAATAAATGTAGCAAAAATATTTACCAGAAGTCAGAATTCACTAGAGAGAAGATGCTTCCCACTGAGGAGAAACCGTATGATTGTAATGAACCTGTAAGATCCTTTTGCACTCAATCAGGTCTCCTTACACATCAGAGAATTCACACAGCGGGAAAATCATACAATTGTAATGAATGTGAGAAATCTTTTTGTCAGAAGTCATCCCTAATCAGACATCAGAGAATCCACACAGGGGGAAAACCTTATGAATGTAGGGAATGTGGAAAAGCCTTTTGCCAGCAGTCCAGTCTCATTGTACATCAGAGAAGCCACACAGGGGAAAAACCTTATAAATGTAGTGAATGTAGAAAAGCTTTTTGTCGGAAGTCACACCTAACTGTGCATCAGAGAATCCACACAGGAGAGAAACCTTACAAATGCAGTGAATGTGGAAAAGCTTTTTGTCGGAAGTCACAGCTAAGCATACATCAGAAAATCCGCACAAGGGAAAAAGCTTATGAATGTATTGATTGTGGAAAAAGTTTTTATTCAAAGTCACACCTAACTGTGCATCAGAGAATCCACACAGGGGAAAAACCTTATGAATGCAGTGAATGTGGAAAACGTTTTTATTCGACGTCACAGCTTATCACACATAAGAGAATTCACGCAGGAGTAAAAGCTTATAAATGTACTGAATGTGGAAAAGGATTTTGTCGGAAGGCACACCTAATCCGACATCAGAGAATCCACACAGGGGAAAAACCTTATGAATGCAGTGTATGTGGAAAATCCTTTTGCCAGCAGTCCGGTCTCATTGTACATCAGAGGATTCACACAGGGCAAAAACCTTATAAATGTAGTGAATGTGGAAAAGCCTTTTGCCAGCAGTCCGGTCTCATTGTACATCAGAGGATTCACACAGGGCAAAAACCTTATAAATGTAGTGAATGTGGAAAAGCCTTTTGCCAGCAGTCCAGTCTCATTGTACATCAGAGGATTCACACAGGGGAAAAGCCTTTTAAATGTAGTGAATGTGGAAAAGCATTTTGTCAAAAGCCATCCCTAATTAAACACCAGAGAATACACACAGCAGAAAAAGCGTATGAATGCAGTGAATGTGGAAAAGTGTTTTGCCGTAAAAAAGACCTAATCAATCATCATAGAGTTCACACAAGATAAAAACTTTTTCAGTATGACGAGTATGGAAAATCTTTTTGTTAGCAGGCAGTTATTGCATAAACTAAGTCACATGCCTGAAGAAATGTTGAAAAACTCATACACAAAAAACATTGATTGCACTAGAAAGCAAAAACTAACATGAGGTCACAGTTCACTAATATATCCATAAGGAGCAACAAAAATATTGCATTGCCTAAAAACAATCATATTTTCTGAAGTCAATTCTCTGCAGATCCTATGAAGCTAAGAAAAACAAAAGTATGTAAACAGAAAAAACTAGCTAGTATAAAGCTACTCTCAGTCAAATCGTATAAAGTCCAAATCAAGCATTAGTAAATTACAGATAGGATACATTGTAAAATTGCAGTAGGATGTGTGAAAGTCTCAACAATTGTCAAATAATAAACATGAGGTGTGTCATATTTCTGAACAAGGCTATGTGTTGCTAAAATATTTGAAATGGAATCTACCTGATGTAATTTTGTTGTAAATAAGTTCTGCTTTCACATTTTAATTTTGAAAATAAATATTCTGTGTATAACACTTGTTTTGAATTCCATATAGCATTTATGCAGTTATCTAGTATAGCTTTTTTTATAGTGCTAATTCACAAATATTCTATAATAGATTAATATGGGACTCACAAATATCAACCGATGCATGTGGCAATTGTAATGCTAATAACCCAGTTTTAAAGGATGAATTTTTTGTTCAGAATGGGGAGTGATTCATTTGTGACATCTGGCAAACTGGATCACTTTTGGCCCTTGTCTAATTATTGCATACTTTTAGAGGTACATGCAAGAGGCATAAGAATTGTTTGGCATCTGACTTGTGATATGATAATGGCCACTGCAGTTTAAATATCAGCTGCCACAACTACTGTCACGTTCATGCTGATTTCCTGCACCATGGCTTCCGACAGCAAGCTTCTTGCCAATGAATGCCAACCTGTGCCTAATGTCTTTCAAATATGAGGATGAACATCAGATCCAGCCCTATAAGATAGTTGTGTAAGGTTCTGGTTATCCTACTGTGGCAACCGAGGGCACAATTGGTTCATGTCCTAGCTGATTCAGTTTTGACCTATCTCCTAACTTTTGGCTTCACACCAGCTCAACTACTTTTGTTGCAATCATTTGGGATTTGAATCAATGGAATAAAGATGCCTCTCTGCTTCTGTCTCTATTATAATTCCATGTTCAGATGAATTAAGAAATGTTATTTTAAGCATGGGCATCATGACTGATGCTGAGGTAAGTGAAATATTTAGTATTAAGCTCATTGGCATGGTCCCATCTGTGAAAGCCTTGACTACTTCTATTACTTATTTAGAGACATGTCCCTATCAAGGTCCAAAATGCTCAGCATCAAATACAAGAGAGGCCTCTTTTTCTGCAGAATGTATCATGTAACATATTATCAATGCCTTTAATTCCAGGATGAAGTTTGTGCACATCTAAGTGATTTCCACCAGCATTCTCATGTGAGCCCCTAGCTGTGATCCCACTGATATTGATACTGACTAGATCCTGGCCAAGGTCCTCCCTAGGAACACACCTCAGAGAGACTACTGTGCAGTGAGATTTATTTAATGTTTTGCAGTTTCCCTTTTCAAACATTTCCAATTGCTCTGACAGTATTCTAATGTCCTTTGATTCTTCTCATTGCCTCCTAGAAAGGTGGAATGGGGAAATGAAGGGATTTGTGAGGGTTGAGATGAAATAGTGTGTATATAATCAGGTTATAGATCCTGCTTTAGTAACCATGGGTTGGAACAAGTTTCAAATGCAATATATCCACTTTCGGTATCTTTCCCCCACCCCTGTATATGAGCAACAGAGACTTAACCTAAATATCCTTATTTTGTCTTTTCTTCATTTGCAATTGCTGTTATCTAGTTTTTTCAAACTGTTTTTATGTCTTAAAACATTGTTAGTTTTGTACTTGAGTGTAACAACATTTAAGAATGTATTAAGTAAGGTAAAACTTAATTTTTTTTTCAATTGGAAAGTCAGATATACAGAGAGAATATGGGTCTCTTGTGAGGGTGCAGGGTCCCAAAGCTTTGGGCTGTCAGTGGCTGCTTTTCTGGGACACAAGCAGGGAGCTGGTTATTGATGTGGAGCATGAGGGATACTGGCACCCATATGGTATCCCAATGTGAAAGGCAAAGAGTTTAGCCACTTGACTACTGTGCAGGGCCCATAAGATAAAAATATTTCCCTGTTTTTTCACTTAATTTCTCCAAACATCAAAAAATATATAAATAATTACAGATAAACTCAATATTTTTATCTATTCATCTTAATTTATATATGTTGGGTTATTTTTAATTTTTTATCTGAAAGACAGATTGACAGTAGGGGCAGATAGATCCTCCATTCATCAGTTCACTCTCCAAATGGCTGCCAATGCCATAGCTGACTCAGTGGGAACCCCCTCCAGCTCTCCCATGTTTGTGCAGTGGCCTAAAAATTACAGCCATCTGCTTCATTCCCAGGTGATAAGTAGGGAGGTAAATATAAAATGTAGAAGCTTGGATTCCAATTGTCATAAGATGCTGGCACTCCAGGCAATGGATTAGCTAGACCATCACTGACAGTCCTAGTTTTTTTAAATGTAAAGTGAAAAATCCAAAAAGAGTGGAGAGAGAAATGTAAATTGTGCCACGTGCATAAGAATGTTATGAATATTCAAGACAGGTATGAGAGATGTGTTTTGTCTATTGTAATTACTAGCATTGTAATAGATAGTAATTTTATAAAGGAGACACACCATAGGGCAAATAAAATAGAATCAGTATAGAAAAAAATAACTGAAGGAATAGTAGAGTGCTTTATCAAGGTTTATGGAAGATGAATCCTACATGGAATTAGATTTCCTGAGATTAGAAAAAAAAATTCTTGATATTATCTAAAAATCAAGCATAAGCCACAAAGGCACACTCCATGAAGCTAGAATTTAGATACCATAAATTTAAACAAGCTTTTATGTTAATAGTTTATAAAAACTTTTGATTGCTTTCAGAATCTTTTTCATAGAAGTGTTTTATTTTCAGCCTTTTTAAAATTATTATTTTTTTCAGAGATTTATTTTTATTATTTATTTTTATTGGAAAGGCGGATATACAGAGAGGAGAGACAGAGAGGAAGATCTTCCGTCCAGTGATTCACTCCCCAAGTGAGCGCAACGTCCAATGCTATGCCGATCTGAAGCCAGGAGCCTCTTCTGGGTCTCCCACGTGGGTGCAGGGTCCCAAAGCTTTGGGCCGTCCTCTGCTGCTTTCCAGGCCACAGGCAGGGAGCTGGAAGGGAAGCGGGGCTGCCGGGATTAGAACCGGCGCCCCTATTGGATCCCAGACATGCAAGGCGAGGACCTTAATCACTTGCGCCACCACGCCGGGCCCAAAAATATTATGTTTTGACAATCTTTACATAGTTAATTAGGGTAAAAAGTTTCAAAGGCCACAGGAAAGTGAGTAAGACTATTATTTTTTCCACATTGTTTCCTTCATCTTTAAAGTGGGTATTAAGGGAAAAGGCCCACCCAATTTCCCACCCTCCCCAGGTCCCACATGTGGGGTATTCTCTGAGGTTCTTGCTCAAGTGGTTTTGATATTTCAACAGTTATGAATCAATGCCAATCTTGCCATTCCAAGCACTATGAGGTCTTTGAAGAATCCACTGCTTGACATAGTCCATCATAGAGTCTCTGTTTGCCAACATATAGCTGAGATGGTTGGTTGACCTGTTCTGTCTTCTCTCTTTTCTTGGTTAGGGTTCTGAGTCCAGCATTTTGATTGGGGAGATCTCCAAAGAAACTTTGTCTGAGGTGTTCTCAAACCAGATTCTTGTATGTGCTAGCAAGTACAGGGCCCAGCACAGTCCATCTTTTCTTTTTAAATTCTTTACACCCCTTTTCTGAGGCATTTTTATTTGTTTTGTGTTGAATTTAATTACACCTGTTCAACATGTAATCAATTCTCACGTAGTTCTTTACCTCTGTTTTCTTCTAATATATTTAAATTCTCCCAAGTAAAGAGAAGGTGTCATTTGTTAACTATTTTATACATGGATTTTCTTATGTTTTTCAACTGTCTTGCTAAACAATGAATTTGTACATCTTTGGTTATGTCTCAAGTATTTCCTTCTATATTGAGTTTTATTTGCTTAGGGAAAGCTGAGCTCTAAAAGAGTTAAAAACATCCAAGTATTTTACCTTAAATCTGTGATTAAACTGATCCATAGGTTAAGAAATTTAAATGACATAAATTGTTATGGATATTTTGTTGAAAAGTAGCCCAAATGAAGCTAACATAGCCATGTTTATGCTGGAAACTATTTTTAAGGTCAATAAGCAAATATGTACTACATGTATAGTGCTCACTCCTACAAGCACTCAGATATATAACTAAAATATGCTTTAGAACTTGGCTAATTCTTTTTTTCCTGCCAAGTTTATTTAAAATTTGATGAAATCACAGAAATAACATTCAAGGTTGGAGTAGGCAGAGAGGAAAATGCACAAGAAAGTTGTCTTTACTTTTATCTTTTATCCACAGTGAGAGAGAGTGACCCTCTCCATTGCCTGGCCTCTCAGGAGCCTAGGAAGGGGAGTGGTTACATGACACCACTCTCCAATCCCAGATGAGTGTAAGTACCAGAGTCCAGCTCCAACTGACTCAAGAGCTTGTAAAGGATGCATGGATCAGTGAGACAATAAAAGGAAGAGACAAGATGTGGACCACTATGGCATGATGCTCATAATGGACAATTCAGTAAAGTTGCCTTCTTTGTTTATACACAAATCATCATAAGCTTTTGCACAACATCCAATTGTTTTATTTTTACTTCATTATAAAAGAATGATTATAAAATCAATCCTAAAAAATGTTATTATTTTACTTCAGAGAAAATATTTTCAGCAAGCTAGTACTCATTCAAACCTGCCGTGACCTTGGCTGAAGTCAGGAACTCCATGGTGGCAGCACATGCAGTTACATAGTGACAAGTGGTTTACTTATATCCAAAATCAATTTTCACTAAACACAAACTAACTAATATTGCTTAAAATATCAATAGTAAAGAGTTAAAAGATCATAAATGAAAGAAATTTATAAAAGCACATAACATAGATTCTTTATTAAATCTTCTAATCAATCATTCACTAATTACCACCACCTTCAGCTAGTGTTGATTCAGTTGTCTTTTTTGTTCTTTTGTTAAAGGGCAGTGAAAGGGATCAGGGCAACTCAGACAATCTACAGAGGACCTTTACGAGAAACTTCCTTTTACCTTTATAAACTGTTTTCCTTCTCTAAATATGAGTTCCAATACAAGGTAGAAGTTGTTATAAACTGTTTTCTTTCCCTAAATATAAGTGCCAATATAAGGTAGAAATTTTAAGCCATTTTGGGGGGGGTTCACATTTGTCTCCCTTTAGAAGATGCCCCATATACTTTCTGCTTTCCTCAGTGAGAAACCAAAATGCATCATATCATGTGTTGTAACAGTTCAAGGTAAATGGAAAACAAACTGCACCTCCATAATTGCCATCTGTTCCAAAATATTATCAAGCTGTTTCTTAAGGTAAACATTACTTGTATTAGGGCAGGCTTAGGGCAAAGGTGGGCACATAACAAAATGTTTGGAGACATTGTGAGATCAATTTTACTATTGTATTTTTAGCTGTGTGTCATTGCCTTTTGTCACTAAAGATGTTTTTATCATAACATGATTGATCAGTTTGAGGTGTTATACCAGTTACAGGAATCATTTCACATTTGCAGAAAAACAGCAACAGCACCCTCAGGAGAATTCTATGAAACATCAGAAAGGTGATTAAGTGTCCATACAGTGGGGTGAGGCAGCAATGAGGCAACCAGAGACAT